GGATCGCTCATTATGTGTCTTCCCACAGACATGCACTTAATTCAAAGACTTCTCTGCTCTACAAATCAAACAATTTGGATATGCCTAGCAGAGGCAGTGAAGTTAGGGCTGAAGTGATCTGGAATATTGGTTTTGTTACAAACACAGTAAATATGTGAAATCAGCATAGAAATTTGAGGTCAAGATGTATTGACTTGCCACTTCTCTGTATAAGGATACAGGGGTTGTGTAATAGTACAAGTATATACGTATAGCAATTACAAATGACCATTGCTTCATCTATATCCGAATGAGAAAAACGGTCTCCTTCGCTACATACCTTAAGGAAGTTTAAGGTATGGTATCTGTTAACATTACTGCTGTCATTCATTTTGTGACAATAGAAATCTAATATAGATGTACTCACAGCTGGTTCTGTGATCCCTTCAAAAGACAGGGTAGAGTGTGTTTATAGAAATTCAGTATTGACTGTGCTAGGATCAAAAGAATCTACACTGTAGCACAGGGATTTTTAAAGAGTAGAGAAACTCTTCCACAGTGGGATAAGGGGTTGGAGCAAACTTCAAAAATGGATTTTAATGTAAAGATTTGTGATAGCTTTAGAAGTCAAAAAGTTTTCCCCACCTTTCAAGTTCCATTTTGCAATCAGATGCACCTGTAAAATAAGACAGTCAATTGCTACAGCAAAAAATAAGTACCTCCACTGCTTCAATATACAACATGTACAAAGGGGAGTAAATTCACATAATCATGAATAGATATGACTACACCATCAGTTCTTTGGGACAAGGTTTTTGTCAAGGTCACTGAAACAAGATGTTTCTTCAGCATCTTCTGTATGCCCAAAATAAGGATGCCATGACTGAATGATTAATGTTCATGGACAGTAATGCAATACAAACACTAAGCAATAGTTGCAATAAACCATTTTAAACAGGATGAGATGATAAAATCCAAACTGTTCAGTCTTTGTGTACAGAATAGTAAATTAAATTACTGATTTTGCAAAAGTTATATGGAAGAGAGAATTTAGTGATTTGGAAAGGAGCTATCACCACTGTGAGACAGAAAGAATTCTGGGGATTTGTCAGAGAAATTAACTACCCAGATAATGTGCTCAGAAACTTTTTGATGAAGTGCTGGTTTTAGTTATTCTGAATTCCATCTTTAGGACCATAGCCTCTTTGGATTTCTTCTTGTTGTTGTTGTTTGTTTTTTAGCCAGCCAAAGAAGGACAATAAAGCTTCAGCTCTGATGGCCTTTCTTCAGGACGGTTTTTATTGTCCACCAAAACAATCATAAAATGAGAAGCAGATCAACTGAATGGCACTGAAGAATAATTCCCAGAGGTTATTCTCTTTCAGCTAGGACCTATTGTTCCCTTTAAAATCTGATTTACATGACTTTTCATACTCTGCCAGAGGATCATGGTAAATGACTTTCAGAGATCCATACCTCTCATTCAGAAACTGGGATATAAGTTCTTATATTAAACATAGGGGTAAAGAAAAGTGACATCTGGACAGTGCTGCACACTTTTCTTCCTTACAACACTTCCTTACTGCACTTGAAATGCTGTAGGGTACTTACTCAACTACATAAAAGAAATACTTAATTGTAATGTAAACTGTATTTTCTCATCACTACACTCCAGTCATTTTTATTAGTCTGGTAAATAATTAGAATAGTAAACTTCTATTTTCCTCAGGTCAAACCCTCTGTCAGGAGGGAGACCAGAGATGTACTTCCTGTCCTGATCCCTGTGGAACTTCTTTCTGTGAGATGAGAAACAGCCAGACAAACTGCAGTAAGTAGGTCTCATGCTTCATAATGTCACCGTTTTAGGGTGTTTTAGAGTATAATGAGGATGCAGGGTAGGACACAGTAAGTAATACTTTAATTTGCTATCTCATGCATATGTATAATGATTAAGTATTGAAAAGGGCAAAGTTGAAACAAAAGTTTCATTATAACTCTTGATTATTGATGTATTAAGGGTTACTCATAACATTTGGCATTGAGATGTTTTCCCTTCTGTGAATTTTTGATACATTCTTAACGGGTGTTTACAGTTGCACTTTTTCTTAACACATAATGTCATTCAGTGTTTACATAAAGTAAACAACATAGTGTAAGTGTAAAGCAGAATCTACTGGTTTATTTTCAAAATATAAGAAATCATGGTACTGTGTTTAGTAGTCTGGAGAACTTTTAGCCCTTTTATGAAGGAATAATTTTGATATTTAAACTGGCAAAACTAGTTATTCTTCTGACCAATACATATTGTAGAGGATCGGGGTCTTCAATACTGTGTATCTTCATTTCTATGTCCTGTACTATACCACTCCATGCAAGCCTCCTGTACCCACTGTACATTTGCTTCTGAGTAGCTCTTTCTCACTTGTGCAATGCAACACTGTGAACAGATACTCAAAAGAAGTATATTTGGCTAGGTTTTGAAACTGGGGCAGAACTGTATTCAGAATTATTCAGCATTAATTAAAACCTGGTGATGTGTTAATACAGTCATATCAATTCGGGTCACCTTGGCACATGGGCAGGCTTGCCTTCACTTGCATATGAATGTGTAGACATATCCTGTAATTGCTTTGTGCTGAGCAGTTATCTCTGCAAGGTATGGTTTGGTACTATATGGTAGCTTGTTTGGATAATGTTATTACATTGGAATGGATATGGGAAGGTCAGCTAGTCCAAACTCCACAGTTTCTCTGAAGTTGTGACTGTCACCTACAAGTGTTTGTTTAAGACAGGCACCATTCACGCTGGGGCCTTTAGATGCTGCTAAAGTAAAGAGGTAAGATACTTGGGCATATATGCTTTACATGTGCTTCTATCAGTGCTTCTCCTAACTTTTTGAAAAGGGACAATGATAAGTACCGTGTTTAGCATTAGAAGGAAGTTAGTTCACACCTTTGGTCAACTAGTCCAAACTCCTGATCAAAGCAGTGCCAATTAAGTCACGTGGCCCATGACCTTGTGCAGCTGAGTTTTGAATACCTCCAAGGACAGAGATTCCACAGTCTTTCTGGGAGACCTGTTCCAGGTCTCATGGTAAAAACCTTTTTTCCGTATATGTAACTGGAATTCTCTGTGTTACAGCTTGTGTCTTTTGCCTCTCGTTCTATCCCTGCGCACTTCTAAGAGTCTGGCTCCATCTGCTTTAAACCTTCCCATTAGCTAATTGTTAACAGCAATAAGATCTCCCCTTAGCCTTCCTTTTTGATGGCTGAACAAACCCTCTTTTTCCCAACTTTTGCCTGTAGATCATGTAACCCAGTCCTCTAACCTGCTTGATGGCCCTCCACTGACATCATTCCAGTATGTAGATGTCTTTCATGAATTGGGAGAGCCAAAAAACATGACGCAATACTCCAGATATGCACCAGTGCTGAATAAAAGGGAATGACAGCAGACATTGTCAGAGACAGCAATCAGATTAATCAGGCGTGATTTTCCCATAATAAATCCATGCTGGCTGTTCCCAGTCACCTTTTTTTCTTCATGTGTGGACATGTCTTCCAGAAGGAATTGGTCCATAATCTTCCTGGGGACTGAAGATAGACTGACTGGACTGTAGTCCCCTGGATCCTCCTTGCCCTTTCTAAAGATGGATGTGATGTTTGCCTTTTTCCAGTCATCAGGTGCCCGGGTTGCCATGACCTTTTGAAGATGATATACAGCAGCCTTCCAATGACATTCCTTGGTGGAACTGAGGCAGAAAAGACATTGAGTACTTTAGTCTTTTCCATGTCCCTGGTCGCTACTTCCCCTGCCCCAGTAAGCAGCAGACCCATATTTTTCTTACATTTCCTTTTGCTGCCAATGTACTTACAAGAGCCCTCCTTCTTGCCCTTTATATTGCTCAGTAGTTTCAACTCTAGCTGAGCTTTGGCTTTTCTAACTCCATTTTTGTATGCTTGGGAAATGTCCTATGTTCTAGAGACACTTCTATGTTCTAGAGTACTTAAGTGCTTTATCCCCTCTTCTGTCTTCTGTATATTTCTTTTTTGTGTTTGAGCTTGGTCAGGATACCCATGTTCAGCCAAGGTGGCCTTATGCCACACTTGCTTGACTTGCTTTGCATTGGAATGGACTCTTCCTGTTCTCTGAGGAGGCCTTTCTTCAAGACCAACTTGCTGTCCTTCAAGCAGACATCAGCATGATTAAAACTCTCACAAGTACCAGGGCCTGCAACCATGAGGCATCTTCCAGCTCTCTGAAGAAGGGTTGATCTACCTGTTTTTGCTAAGGTGGTCTGCAGTAGATGCCTACTACGTACATCACCTGTGTAGGTCTGTCCTCTAATCCATATCATAACCAAACTATTCAGGTGAGAAGGAGCCTTCTAAGGTGATCGGAGTAGTAGGTGTTGGTGTTTTTTACTTGCCTGTTGTGAACCAAACTTTCTCCCTCAAGAAATATTTAGAAAGGGTTATGAAATGGGAAGGAAGGTATCCATATAACACAAAACTAATAACAGTCCACTTCATTTCTAAAAAACTTTTAATAAAATTTAAATTTTTAAAATAATTTAATTTTTTGTTGGTTGAAATCTCTCTTCATTGAATTATCTCAGTCATTTTCTCCTCTGTGTCTTGCAATTCATGGTCAGATATTATCTCCCATCAGACATTGTCCCCCTCCTGGTGAAAAGGAAGCAGTATATCTTGGGATACATACACTCATCAAGGAGAAATCAAACATGAGATATCGCAACAGATCTAATTACTTTGGTTGTTGACCACATCTGCAGTTC